TTGCCAGAACGTGTTGGCTGTCTACTAGGCCTTTCCCTTGTCTCTATGTTTCTTCTGGCATATGTTGGACAGTCTCTAGCGTACTAACCCACGCATCCACACTTCTTACATATTTCTGCACTTCTCCGCCAGGCCTCGTTACGCGACGGACACTGTCGGGCAGTACGTTTCTTGCCCTTATATTCGTTACAACGGCTACCTCGCTGGCGACGTTGTGCTCTGGGAGTCTCCCTTTTTCCGTCTTCTTGCTTCTCATCACGGTATGCTCACCTTCGCTGTAACATTTGTTGTACCATTATTCTGCATTCTCTCGCGGCGTGCAGTGTTCGCTCTCTAGTTCGTATGACTTTCTTCAATGCCTTACCAGCCTTCTGCCAGATCTCAGAGGTTCTTTTACCGTTGGCTATCAGAGCGAATATAACGTAATCAGGTAAATTGCCTTTGAATACTCTTAACGAGTCTTCTGGTGTTAGACGTTCATCCTAACTCAATTCCAACGAAAATTCGGCAACATACTGTACCGGGGTATCCTTCCACCGTATGCTTGCTAGTCCGATCCTCACCTCTTTCAGTAGAGCACATACGATTGTAAGTATTTCTTCTCAGACCTCCCCCCAGCTATCTAAATCTATTCCACAGGCCCACATATGATACCAATAATGTGTTTCGTAGATATATGGGAGCACCTATGTCTCACCGTGCAGTAATTACAGCAAATCCGCTCAATAACGTCTTTATGAGCGGAGAAAAAATCAAATGCAAGAGAACTAGGGTTATAAAATTCCCGGAACAGCCCCCAAATGTAATGAACAACGGGCTGTTACTACGTATGTATCGTACCCTATGGCAACCCTACTGGGTTCAGACTCTATGTTCTAAAGACAGCCTATCTATATTACGCGGGCTCAAACACTCAAATAATTGCCTTTAAAAAGGATCCCAGTCGAGTAATATTGAAAAGGAAATCCAGGAATAACAGTTCTCCGTCGTGACTCTGCAGTCAGTCAGAGTCCCCCAACCGCTGCATCACTCACAGGCAGCCCTAGCCTGGTGGACCGCCGAGCATTCTTGACTTTGTTATCTTAAATTTCTACCTACAGTACTTCCACTTATCTCTACTAGTATTGTATTTTTAATCTTTGATCTAACAAGGTCTGTGCAGTTTCGACTTCAGCGCCATTGCACTGCCTGTGCACACCAAACGGTTTCCGACGGGGACGGCACGAGCCCTCATAAACGGCGATAAAAACAAGGCGCACAACAACTCTACATAGAAACCTTTCTTGTATCACCTTGTTTTAATATTAATTATATTAAGTTTCAAGTTTTGCTCTCATTTTCGGCACTTGTTCCGTACTGCTCCATCCGCAATGCACGAGACTTGAGGACCAGCCGAGGAACTCCGACATCTCTGCCTCCTTTCCTGAACTCCTTAATTTGCGCATATATATTTCTGTTCCTTTTTGAAACAAAACAGATATTGAAATTCTCTCTCTTCTTTCACCACCATGGCTTCCTTCTACAAGACGGCAGCAGCAGTGTGCCTCGTCGCACTCGGTGTGCTCCAATCAGAGGCACAGCAGGGCACTGGCGGGGGACAGGGGGGTTCTACAACTTATAAATTTAAAGTAGTGGAGGTAGATGAAGGTGAGCATGCTTTCCGCTCCATTTCACCCGTCATGCTTTTCTCCTTCCTGTTTGATGTCAAGCTACCAAGTACTCTGCCGCGGCGGACCCATCGTCGCCTCATTGCTGTACTCCCTCTTGCCACTTTGTTCCTGTTTCTCCGCCGCAGACGCCTACTTATCCGCCAACTTGGCCCGTAATGGAAAGCTCCCAGTTCACATCAGTGAAGTCACAAAGGACGACGACCTTGTCACTGCCTTGACGGCAGAAGTAACACCCAAAGAACAGCAAACTGCGCAGAACTGCACTGCATTGATAACCACCGAACTGGTGAGCAAAACAACTACCTGACAAGTGAATTTGAACTGTTGTTACCGGCACTCGTGCTGCGGCAAAAGCAGCTCTAAACCCCACTGTAGAACCCGACACAAACTGTGCAGCCATATAGCTGGTTGAGACAAGAAGCTGCCCTGCTATTTTACGTTTCTTTTGGGCGTATAGAAGGGTCGCTTCCATTACTCTTTCGAGCACGCACCCGAGTCGGAGGCCAGTTTCGACTACCGTCAATTACTGCAGGGAGCTCTTGAAGCGGGACTGAAAGTCTTCAAGTGAGTCAATGCCGCATTCACTATCACTACAGACAAATCTCATATATATTCCTTGTACAGCAAAATGCAGCGCCGCTTGTCTCAAGCGTAAAGGCAAGCAGCTGCGTCGCTTTCTATGCAAACAATTTTTCGCTATGCACCTGTGCTGCGCTTCGCTGCCATTCTTTCAAAAGCAATACATACCCCAAGACCGAAGAAGAGTGGAAAAATATCTGGAAAGATGATGCAGGAGCCAACCTGGCATATCTTCTCGGGTCTAACAGCACCACAATTGGGTGCGTCATTGGAAGGTGTACCCAAGTAGTAACTCAAGGCAGCGCGGGACTACTTAACGAAGGTGGCGAAGGTCAAGGAGGACCGACAGAAACTCCCACAAATCATGCTGTACTTTTCTGCGATCTCAAACCTGCGGCGGTGAAGGACTCGGCCCCCTTTGAGTAAGTTTTGGGCTTCTTCAGAGGCCTTCAAAGATGGGACTTTAGGAGGGATGTAGGCAAATTAGATACAAAAGCTGGGGATAACCCACCTGATGATGCGTGCTCCTGTGTGTTTCCTATTTTTTCAGTGAGGAGTATTTCAACGGACTTATAGAACGAACCACTCAATTAAAAGATATGACAAAAGACGACCTGAAGAATTCGGTTGGAAATGGCCCTGTAGCAACGGCCTCTACGATCCTAATTGCCGGTTTGGTTGCTATGCTGACGGCCGTCTCTGCCTAGGGTTCAACTTGCCCTTAGCTGCTCAGGAAGTTGCCCCGTTTCCACTTCAGCTAGT